TAAAGTTTCTCCGTTCTGCCTTGAAGCCATGATGGCAGTAATAGGCTATCCGCCGTGACACTAACCACCGTTCGTGATGTCAAGAAAGACACGGTGAAAACAATGCCCTTTTGAGTGAGCGTCAATATTTCCGACGACGGATCGGTTCTCTTCACGTGACCATTCTTCCCTCGCGTCGTGAAGTCTCACAACGGTGAAGCTAACCCCGTCAACTCACCTCAATGCCGTCGTCTTGGTCGCGGACCCCTGGACGACCATTGCCGGGGTCAGTCATGCCGTCGGGCGGGTTCGTCCACGGGTACTGGTCGTCCCTCTCCTCCTCCTCGCCGTCGTCGCCTTCCTCGTCCTCGCCATAGTTGGCTCCACCGTAGTCCTCCTGACCCACGGTGAGGGCGAGCCTTCCTTTCCTGTTCTGTTGGCGGTGGTTGCCTTCGACGTCGTCCAGTTCCGTAACGACCAGGCGGTCGTCACGGCGGGGGTCCTGCGGCTCGGTCGTGATGGCGATGGAGGTGGTCGTAGAAGAGTTCCTCGTGGCGGCTTTGGAGGCGGCGGTGGCGCGAGTGTGGGGCGGCGGGGGCGGCTGCTTGAGCGGGGGCGGGGGCGTGGTGCTGCTGCCTGACTCCTCCCCCTGCTCGTCCGACCCGCCTTGACCCTCGCTCGTGATCACCAGCTCCAGAGAAGGCATCATCTCCCTCCGGAATCGCCCTTTGGCCGCCAGTTACCTTCGTGTTGTCCCCTTCGTCTGCCTCACTGTGCCTTCTCTAGTCTCCTTCTTCCCGTTCTTCTCCTGATCATTTTCCTACTGCTCCATGTCCCGGCATTCTTGCTGCTCCTCCTCCTCTTCATGCTCTCCAGCGTGTCCTTCTACTTCACGAGGCTTTGTCATAACAACATCTCACTCATTTTATTACTTAAAGACTGAGCTTTCTTCTTTTCCCGATTTTCCTTCTTACGTCTTCTTACGTTCTTCTTATTCTTTTTCTTTCTCCTTCTCCTCTTCCTCTCTTTCTCTTCCTTTTCCTCCTCCTCCTCCTCCTCCTCCTCTTTCACGCCGAGATGCCCTTGGCCACAGCGCCCCCTCTCGCCGCCTCGCTACCCATGTCCGCTGGCCATTTCCCTTCGACCTGGACTGCTGGCTTCCCTGGCTCTCGTGTCGCCGCTCTTTCTTCCCCCTAAATTATTGTTTATTATATCCCTTCTCTTTTCCTCCGGCGGGGAGGAGCGGCAAGCGATATCCCGGCAAAAGGACGTCTGGCCAGAGCGAGAAGTGATGATGGATCGTTTTATTCTGTGTTCTGTGGGGGCAGCCGTCACAAACACTCCCGTCACACCTGCTGTTAACACCCTACTAAACTACACGCTCTGGTCGCCGTCGTCCTCTCCCCTCTCCCCCTCCCCCCCTCTCCTTCCCTTCCCCTCAATCTAAGTTCCCCTCCTCTCTCCCCTCCCCTCTCCCCCATCCCTTCCCCTCCTCCCTCGCACGAATAATCCCGATGAAATCATTAGAGACCTAAAATCTCGATCTTCTTTTGTTTCTGTCTCCGGAATCATGCGTCTTACTCGTGTCAGTTTGGGCAGAAAGACTCGTCAGGAGTTTCGGTATTGTGGGATTTAATATTTATCTTATATTTTTCATCCCTCGAGATTGCAGCCAGTTTTGGAATATATTTATAGTTTGAAGAAGTTTTAGGAATATTTGACTTGGTCCATCAGCGTTGCATGATACCATAGGCTGGTTCATTCAGCCAATAGGAAATCGTTTCGACCACGTACCAGACTTTTCATTGGTCCTTGTCAACGATCGTGCATTATTACACGAACACTTCGCAGCGCTCTAAATCTTTTTCGTTATCCAATCCTGGGGATGAATTTCCGCAGACTTATTTATCTTCGCGGTAATAACGGAACATCCCATGTCATATATACAACACATTTTTTTTTGTATAGAAAATATCAATAACTCATGTTGCCTTATCTTCCTAAATCCCGCGATTATACAAGGTGATGTGTTGAGCGCGTTTATCAGATATTATCAGCCTCGGGACAGGAAGCTCGCAGTTGACACCCTGTCTTCCGCGCAAAAAGACAAATGAATATCTTCTTCCTTCATCTCTTTTATAACACACTCTCACCTTGTTTTATTCATTTATATTTTCCTCAACAAAATACAAAACATTAGAAACAAAATACACAGATAGAATATAAAGAACACAATCCATAAAATAATATCTGAAACTAGTGGGTATTGGCAATGCTGCTTTCGTTGTTTACATCCGTTACCATAGAAACCATCGGGTGGGGAGAGGGGAAGTGGGGGAGAGGGAGAGGGGGAACGGAGACGGGGGGTAGGAGATAATAACAGTGCTTCGTTTCAAAAATATTCGTTGTTATTTAAAAGTACGTGTTATTATCTCAATGTGATATTTGTAATGTTTTTTATTATTATTTTCATTGTTAAGGAAAGAGGAATTATAGAAATAGCCTAAAAAAAAAGAAAAGAAAACGGAAATAAAGAGAAAGGAAGAAAGAGAATAAGAAAAAACAGAAATGAAGAAAAGGAAGAAAAAATAGAAATGAAGAAAAACAAAGAGGAAAAAAAATAAGAACAATAAAAAGGAAAAAACAAAAACAAATGAATAACGACATAGAGTAACGATCATATATATACACGAGCGCGTTGTTGATCCTGAATTAAGCTTTATGAATAAAGTAATTTCATCCACTTGATGAAGTCGTTCTTGTACTCTCAGTAATAAATAAAAAGAAAATACAATTCGTTTTACATTTACGTTTTACATGATCTCTCTCTCTCTCTCTCTCTCTCTCTCTCTCTCTCTCTCTCTCTCTCTCTCTCTCTCTCTCTCTCTCTCTCTCTCTCTCTCTCTCTCTCACACACACACACACACACTCCCTCTCTTCCCCTCTCTCTCTTTTTTTTTCTTTCTTATCCCCCACCTTCTCCTCTTCCCCTCTCTCCCTCACTCCCTCTCATCCCCTCTCTCTCTTTCTCCATCCCCCCTCTCTCGCTCTCTATTTTCTTTCTCTTTCTCCCCCCCCCCCACCTTCTCTCTCTCTCTCTCTCTCTCTCTCTCTCTCTCTCTCTATATATATATATATATATATATATATATATATATATATATATATATATATATATATATATATATACATATATATATATATATATATATATATATATATATATATATATATATATATATATATATATATATATATATTTGTCTCTCTCGGACAGCCAGACAGATAGATAGACAGACAGACAGACAAACAGAGAAAGAGGGAGAAGAAAAACAGAGAGAAAGTATCAGTAATCTTTATAGATACGTTTACTAGTTCTCGAAATTGAAAGGAAGAAGATAAAAAAAAGCATCGCAAAGTTCCACGCATCAGGTTCTTTCCCAGTTATAAAAAGACTTTGATCCTATTTTACGCCTATTGTTGTTGTTTTACGTTTGATGTATTTATTATATTTCGCGTTTCGTTTTTGTTTTTTTTATTTTACATTTCATTTTTTATTTATTATATTTCATATTTTGTTTTTATTTTGATTTTACATTTCACTTTCGCAATTTATTCTTCATCCTCTGGTTTTGGTTTACGAAGCTGTTTATTTTTCTTATCTTTCCCATTTATGTTTTTCCTCTTGTTATTATCGTTTGTTTTTTTGTATTCTTTTTCTTTTTTTTACTTCTCTGTCGTTTCATTCCTGTTCTCCCCTTTTTTTTCCTTTCTCTTCTTCGTCGTTTCATTCTTGTTTTGTTTTTTTCTCTTCTTCGTCGTTTCATTCTTGTTTTGTTTTTTTCTCTTCTTCGTCGTTTCATTCTTGTTTTGTTTTTTTCTCTTCTTCGTCGTTTCATTCTTGTTTTGTTTTTTTCTCTTCTTCGTCGTTTCATTCTTGTTTTGTTTTTTTCTCTTCTTCGTCGTTTCATTCTTGTTCCTTTCTCTTGTTTTATTTATGTTCTCTTCTCTGCCGCTTCATTCCTGTTTTTTTAATCTATTATTTCTGTTCCTTTCTGTTCCTTTTTCTATCGTCCGTTCCGCTTCCCTTCGGTTTAAAAAAAAAACGAAAATGAGACGAAGGGAAACGGGAATGGAATGGTCGTAGGAGGGAACAGGAATGGAACGAGAGAATAAGAATGGGACGATAAAGAAGGGAACTGGTATAGAACGATAGAGAAAGGGAACAGAAATAAACAGGAAAAAAAGGTAAAGAAAATGGGGATGAAACGACAGAGAAGAGAACAGATATGAAACAAGGGAAAGAAACAGGTACGAAACAGGAAAGAAACGAACAGAAGAAAAAACGATAAACAAGGGAACAGGAATGAAACGACAGAGAAGAGAATAAAAAAACAAAACAAAACAGAAACGAGGAGGGAAAATGGAACGACAGAGGAGGAAACAGATATGTAACAAGGAGTAAAACGTACGAGAATGAAATGACGAAGAAGAGAACTGGAAAAAAAACAGAAACAAAACAAAACAGGAATACGAAGGAAACTGCCAGAAAAGTTCAAAAGCAAAAAACGCCAAAAACGAAAGGGAATAGGAGTGGAACGTTAATAACAAGAGGTAGAACAGAAATAAGAGATTTCAGAAACCATATACCACGGCTTCCCTCCTCCTCCTCCTCCTCCTCCTCTTCGTCCTTCTCTTGCCCATAGTCATTCTCTCTTTTTTTTTTTTACTTTCTTTTACTCTATTAGTATTATTTTTTCAAAACCCTGAGACTAAGGGATGACAGAGGAAAGGAAATCGTGACCATGACAGGCTGACGGCACTCTCCTGACATGACGTTCCTCCCATTATAGTTCTGAACGAGTAAAAAAAAAAAAAACGAAAAAAAAGAAAAACACGAAAAGAGATTAAGAAAAAATACAAACATCCTTTTAATCCGTTTTTTATATATATATATTCTTTGAGATTTCGATAATTAGATTTACATTTACTTTGAGATTTACATCACGCTCTCCTCTCCC